CTTGCAGCAGCCTTGCAGAAAGTTTCAACAAGCAAAAGAAAAAGCACCCACCAGTCGTACTGCACCTTTTTCATGTGTACAGTTTCGTATTGTATTGCAGTAGTTACGTGTTTCATCAGTTGGATACTGCTTCAATTTATTATATTATATAACTAATGAAGTTTATGCTTTCATATTTACTGCTAAGCTGGTCATTTTCAAATAAATTTAATATGTGCAATTTGGTTCTTATTTATCTATAGCGGGTACATATATATATATGTCATTTAACTGAAGCATTGCAAAATATGTTGTGTCATTGGCATTTCAGTTAACAGCTTGAAAGACTCCCAGGTCGTCTAACTTGACCATTATTTGGTTATTGTGTCGAGCAAAGTCGAGCAAAGTCGAGCAAGCCTTTGTCCAGCACTTAAAACAAATATTTTGTTTTTATAAAAAAATCTGCTCCAAAAAACACTTTTTGCTGCTCCGAAACACTGTTTTGGCTGCTCCAAAGGCCACTTTTGCTGCTCCAAAACACTGTTTTGGCTGCTCCAAAAGGTGCTCCAAAACGGCTTAGGCCAATCACATCACTGTGCTCTGCTACCGCCTTGCTGGTCTTTGCCATGCTCTAGTTGAAGTGAGACACTGCTTCAGGGACAGCCTTTCCACAGCCAGTAGAGAGTTTTGGCCCCACATCAGTGTGTAGGCTGTCAATGGCGTTCTGCATCATGCCATCAATGCAATGCTCCAGGCGGGCCTGGTTGCCCAGGCTCTGAAAAACCGGCTCGAGTGCTGTGCAAATGAAGCCTGGTAAGGGCTCTTGCGTGTGGGTGACACCTCGTGGTTGACCACTGCACGGTTGTAGGAGTACCAGGAATTGTCTCTTTCAGTACAGTGGCTGTGGTCACGGTGTAAGGTACACTCTTTAGGTGAGGACACGGCGGGGCTGAATGCGCGGCGCGAGAAATCGGATAGCGTTCGTTCGACGGGCATCTGAAAGACTGCATCATTCCTCGGCCACCGTGCCCGCGGCCAAAGGGCGAAACCGTGTAGGAGCGAAAAAAATGATCTTGTTGCCATGACACCCTGGTACACTGTGGTCTTTCTGCACGTGCGACAACCTCGCTGGAGCCCTGCGCGTGTGGAGCATGAGACGGCACGAGCTGTCTTGTGTGCTGCTGCCTGCCTCCTGCGTCTTACACCGTACCCACGGGTCGACGAGACATCTGCCGGCGCCGCTTGAAACCATAGTGAGAGAGAGTGAAAAGTGAACTTTATTGGGCATGTCGCAAGGAGCGCGTTGTCCTCGCCTGAAGATTATTATCTTACACCGTGGCTGTGGTCCAGGGCTTCAACTGCTGACGTCATGTGCAACAACGTTGCCTGCACCGCCTTCATCGAGGGGTTGTCGTGCCTGTGGGTCCTCAATGCGTATCCATTGTGGTTTGTGATATTTTTAATCTTGTCCCGGTTCAGCCTTCCTTTTCCTCCAAAAAAACTCCCCTTGTGCCTTCTTCTAAACCAAGGTGCGAAAAGCTTTGCCCATCCACTTGTGCCCATGGTTCAGGCAGTCCTCTTCGATCTCGAGGTAGCCATAAATGCCCTCCTTCGTCAGAGTATGGAAGGTGCGGCTGGAAATTGATCTACGTGATTCCTGTCTATATAGGATCTGGGAAACCTTAGAGTGCACTAGAAAGTTGTCGTTCTCTAAGCCTCAGATGCATCCTCTGCAAAATATTTGAAAGTTCAATTCATAGTAAAATCTCCAAACAACTAGAAACAAACTATCTCGTCCGCAACACCCAGCATGGTTTCAGGAAAAGGCGGAGTTGCGAAACTCTGTTCTCCGTTCTGTAGAGTAGATTGTTGGGCTTGTTGGTTTTGGAACTTGGAATACATCTTAGCGCTCAAAAACAAAAACAAAAAGACGAGAATCAGACACCGCTGTGCGCGACACAGTGCACTGTGGTGTCTGATTCTCGTCTTTTTGTCCTTGTTTTTGAGCGCTAAAATGTATTCCAAATCTCCGTTCTGCACCGTGATCTGATCTGAGCAGTGCCCTTGACGGCTCCAAAGAAGCCAATGTTTTCTCGCTCATCTTTTTGCCAGAGAGACGCTAAAATGGATATCTAACTTTTTGACGGAGTTCGGCTTTCAAGGTGCCTTCAGACAGTGGCGCGACACGAGGGTGGGTATATTGCAGAGAGCCGTGATGGGGCCCCTTTTTGTTCAATCTTGATGTAAATTACCTTTCACCTGGCATTTAATCACACATCTTATGATGCAGGCGACCATGTTTTTTCGCACCATCGGCTCCATTAAGGACCGGCAGGTCCTGCAGTTTTGACTCCCTCAGGATCTTCGAGTGGTCCGTACTATACAGTATATTCCTCGACCTGAGCAAGACGGTATATCTTGGGATGTCTCGGAAGTGAAGACCGGACAAAGTTGCAATGTTCATTTCGACTGGAGCCCACCCTTCAGTTCTCACGTCGACTACGTCCATCAAAAAGCCAATGGACGGAGGAGGTTTGCGGGTGTTTGTTTCGACCGGAACCCACCCTTCCGGCCGCACGTCGACTACGTCCATAAAAAGGTGAATGGAGAGAGAAGATTTATTACCAGAACATGAAGAACCATGCCTGACCATGCCCTTTGTACTCTCTACACGGCTCTCGTGCTTCCAGTTCTCGAATACTGTGCCCCCATCTGGTCCCCTGGTCAGGGGGACTTCCAAACGCGACTCGAGTCTGTCTAAAGGAAAGCCCTGAAGACAGCTTTCTACAGAGAGAAAAGGACAAGCAAACTCCCTATGAGAGGCAGTCCCTTCCATGGTCTAGGCTTGACAGGCGACGATTTCTTTTCAGCCAAATACTATACAAGTTTCTACACGACGACCGGCCCATCCCTATCTACGGAGGTTAAGGCGTGATCCACTGAACTTTATCCACCCTCGTTGTCCAGGTCCCCAAGCTCTAAAACTCCTTGCCGATCGACGTTCGCCAGGCCACGAATGCAGCTAAATTTTATTAATTAATAGAGCATCTCGGTATCTATGTAAAAATTTTGTAGTCTATAATGCATGTATTCAACTTGAACGTTTACGTACACACCATCGCTATCATGATTCCCCGCCTGTTATCTCGCACCCGAGCAGACAGCCGGCACTTGGTGTACAGGCTTCTGTCTTTTGGTTGCCTCAGGCTCTCGGGTGCGTCGACATTAAGCCAATAACCACTTTGACTTTGGGTCGTGTAAAGTGGCCCATTCTTCTCCAGAGATCTCTCGAACGGGATAGCGGCTGCTGCGGCTTCCATTCGTTCGGCCATGCAGTCGATGCTCTCAAGGCACTCTTGGTTCATAACCCGGTTGCCGTAGCCGTCGTCATCTGGGACAGGTGCCTCCTGGCAGCCGCGGCAGTACCTGGAGATTACGACGTGGTCCGGTGCCAAGCCAGACTAGGGCTCGAATGTGCAGCCCAGTAGAATGTTAAAGGGACACTGAACCGAAATTTTGATTTAGCGAAATAAAGCTGCAAAAGCGTTGAACGGGATGCTACAAACTCAAAGACTTCACTCATACTTCGATATCTCGAATAAATGGCTGTATTTTTAGAAAAGAAGGGTGGGATCAAGTGAGGACTCTGACGTCACAATCCTCCAGGAACAGTTGAGAATGAGGGGAAGTGGCCTTGCCTTTCTCCTTCTCGCTTTGGTTCACCAGCTCGACGGGACAAAGTGGACAGAGGGAAAGAGAATCACAGCGTCGCATGTCTCGTCAGTTGTGTTCAATCGAGCATTTATTTTCCAAATATACGGCCATTTGTTAGAGATACCGCTGTATGAGTGGTGTTTTTGGGTTCTGCAGCGTCCCGCCTATCGCTCCAGCACTGTTTGGTGAGCACGGCATTTCAATTCAGTATCCCTATAAAGTTGTGCCCACGAGTCTTCCATGTCCCATCAAAAATTTGGTCTGCGTTTGAAACGGGGTTGAGGGAGTTCTGGTACAGGACCTTTACTACCTGCACACTTGCTGTTTCTGTGGCTTTTGCTGCCGCCTGGCAAGCTTTCACCATGACGGCCATGTGTCCCCCGGTGGGAGGGGTTCGGGGTTGCACTGAAGTCCACGAGGGCAGTTGGTCCCTTTCCTACGCTCACTTCGGTTGCTCTCAAGTTGATCTCAAAGGGCGTCATGTTGGTCGCTCTGGCGACTCGTTGTGGCTTGAGCACGTGAGCACTAGCTTCATTGCTAGGCCGTACTGCCTCTCATTGTACTATGATGATATTTCAACTGTGGCACTTTCGTGTCCACAATGACATACTTTGTGCCGCGATCATTGTCTTAGCTCGCCAAGCTGACGTCGAGGAGCTCGAACTTTCGTGAAGTGATCGACTTCTCTGCCCGCGGAGCTTATGTGTCTTCTGCAGATTCTTTGCGTTTATGAATGCGGTCAACGCTTGAGCTTGGTTCGACCACGTCCACCAGTGGCGAAGTGCCTGGCGACGTCGCCGAAGTGCATTGCAGTGTCGCTGAAGTTGTTGGTGCAGTTACGTTCACGAGCAGTGAAACAACTTGCGGTGCGACTGGAGCTGACACTAGTTTTCAACGACACGTTGCTCTTATTCTAAGTACGTCTATGTTTACTGTGCACTTTCTGCGTGCTCACTTTCAAACGGGCACTCCTTGCCATCAAAGAATGCAAAACAAAATAAAATGCTGATACAAAGTGGGTAAATGTAAACAAAAATGAAAAGAAGCTGTAGAAGTAAGGCAGCGTGTGATTCGGACGGCGTAGCGAACAAAGGCAGACGACCTCGAGCATGCGAGAGAGCAGGGTGGGGAAGATAGGAAAGAAGCTAAACTGAAAGAAACAAATTTATGTAAACTCAACAAAAAGTCGAATTTTTAGCATCTGTCCGAAACTCCAAAATAAGCTAGCTTTAAAAAAAAAAAAAAAAAAAAAAAAAAACATTTTCTTGGGATGGGAGGAAATGAATGCCATTCGATTGTGCCTGCAGCTGAGGGGCAAGAGCCTGGAGGCCAGCTGCCCGCTGGAGCACGTGCTGGTGAACCAGCTGGACCGGGCGGCCCTGGAGACACTCAGCATGGTGTGCACCTCGTGCAAGGCGAAGGAGACGGCGGTGGCCCGCTGCTCGGACTGCGCCTCCTTCCTGTGCAACAACTGCGTGACGGCCCACCGCTACATGCGCTGCTTCGAGAGCCACGAGGTGCTCACCTTCGACGAGCTGGGTGGGGCCCCTGGGCCGGACCAGATGGGCCACAGGCCGCTGGGCTGCCCCCTGCACGCCGGCGAGATGCTCAAGCACTACTGCCACACCTGCCAGGTGGGGCTTTCCTGCCTCTTCCCCAGTAGAGGACCCTGAACAGCGCCTAGGCTCGGCTTATGACGGCATGCCAGAGGCTAGTGCAACGGTCGCTGCATTAGCTTTTGGCTTTCGCCGATTGAGAATTGCGGCCGAATGCTGACGCGGTGTCAAATCTCTGTCCCGCTTTGGTCAGGGGACATAAAGAATTCAGCATTACAGTCTTGGTGTCTAGGAAAACTGAAATAGGAGGGCACAGTTTTTGAAGCATGATCTCCGGGAGAGAGGGTAAACATTTATTCGCACCCAAAAATTCGTCCTGGAGAGCGAAGCCTCAATTTTCTGCATCGCTGAAGGTCATTTTTTCTCCTCATTAGCTGCGAGGGTGATGAAAGAGGTTAAAAAGGGGGAACGAGTTTCGTAAGGTCCAGATGGAGGGGAGAGAAGGAATAAGTGAAAGGCTGTGTCAGCATTTAAAAAGAAGTTGCGAATGAATGGTGCCTGAAATGCTGCTGCTGCAAGATTCTAGAGTTAATGGCAATCTTTTTGGAGGTTACCGCATCTCATTCGGGAAGTCTACGCGTCTGTTCACTAAAGTTGTAGAGTTGGGAGTGTTTTTGGCAGCGGGTAGTGAGGCCTTCGACGGAAGTAACGCCTGCCAGCCCTCTGATATTCCTTTGTCCGAATCGCCTTAGAGCTAGTTTATTCCCAGTCGGATCCCGTACTCGGATCCTGGGTGAGGCTTTAGGGAACTGAGCGTGTGCGTGGCAGGTGCCCATCTGCAACGAGTGCACGCTGGGCGACCACAAGCAGCCGGACCACCGCTGGGAGAGGGCGTCGGAGGCCGGCCCCGGCCAGCGGACGGAGCTGGAGGCCAGGGCGGCCGAGGGCCGCTGCCAGGTGCGCGCCTGCGAGGACTCGGTGGAGCGGATGAGCGAGGGGCTGCAGGAGCTCCAGACCCAGCGGGACACCGCCAAGGCGCAGATCCAGGTGGGCTCTCTCCCGGACTTGTGTAACCGTCGGCAACCCCCGGTAGAATTGGACGACTACGTTTGCGCACTCGCGGTGCCTCCAGCTGACGACGTCGCAAAAGCGTCGTGCCGTTGCCCGCCGCAGTCTCTGAGGTTGCACGGCAGCAGACGCACATTCCGCTGCAGATTGCGGCTCGATATTCCGTGCAGGCTCGTGCAGCGAGGATCTAAGACGCTGCAATGACGGCTCTCGTTTTCTCACACTTGTTGCCGGAACTTGTACGACCAACTGCCAAGGTCCAACGAGAGGATGCGATTTGTTGTCGCTTCGAGACCGCTTTCGAGGTGGAATAGCGCGGTAGACGCGCCGGTTGGCGACTCCTTCCAGGCACCATATCAGTAACGAGAGGACAGTGACGGACTAGCACGAACGAGCAATTTTTCTCTTTGTACCGGGGGCTGTTGTAAAAAATTCCTGCTTGTGGTGGAACGTGCGCCACCAACTTGAGCAGGGAACACATTGTGCCCGTTTGCACCCTGTCCGAGCTAAATGCGACAGAGCACCAGTGTCGTGTTTATGCTAATGGTGTTGCGTAGTGGGCACATTTTCTGCGTGCATTACTTGCAGGAGGTTGTCTGGGTTGTCAAAAGCGTACCTAATTTTACGACGGCGATTTTTCTGGGTAGCACATTGCATTGGACTGGGTGTGTACGTCCAATGATGGCATGGGGAGCACCGCGGTTGGACTGGGGCCCAATAGTAGAGCGTTGGGTGTCTTGTGTTTGTTCAGGAGGCATTTGAGGGCTTCAGGGCAGCCTTGGAGAGGCGGCAGGAACAGCTGCTCGAGGAGCTGGAAAAGCTGCACTCGGAGGAGGAGCTGCGCATCATGGATGCCATGCACGCCGCCGAGAAGACGACGGAGCGCATCGAAGAGGCGTGCCGCTTTACGGACCGCCTTCTCGAACACGCCAACACCCTCGAGATGCTCTCTATGAAAAAGGTGACCGGGAGGTCTCTAATATCTCGAAAGGCGCCCATTTTTCTATCAAAATCAATAAACATTTAATTAGAAATTATGGCTAAAGCCACACCTTTTGACTGGAGTCATCTGGTGCGATGGAATGATTAGGGAGAAATGAAGGGGGTAGTGTTGGGGGGGGGGGGGGGGGGGGGGGGGGGTTAGATGAGGTGAGTGAAGTTTAATCGATTTTAAAGATGCGACCAGCTGCTCTTTAGCGGGCGGCAAGCGGGTTAGCTTTGAGTCGAGCAACACTGGCACATCACCGTCGTGACGTCACGTTATGGTGGTGTTGGAGTTGATTGGTTCCGCGTACCGCAGCACCCTCGTGGCGTTGCGTCGCAGCCATACGGCCGATGGTCAGTTTTGCCATCCCTCTAGCAGATAGTTTCTGTTTTGCCGTAGACTCCCGAAACCAAACTTTTTGCCGTGATATTTATAAAAATACGCGCAGTATTGAATAAAAATGATACCTCGTAATTCGGGGACACTGCTTTGGCCGAAAACAGTTGTAATCCCAAATTCAAAAATATTGTCCGGAGTTATCGTTTAAAGCCTGACGTACAGCATGGGTTCTCTGCTGGGAAGATGGTCCTCTTTGTGGTCCCCTGTCCTAAGCTGCGAGGGAAGCCAAATTGGGGCAAGGTAGAAAGTGGAGAGCATAAATATGGGAGAGGTGGAGGAGGGCAAAAGTGCAAAGGGTACGTCGGCCTTACCGTGTAGGGAGTCCAGGACCTTGATTGGGTTGTCTTTGCTGGGAGTTGTCTAGTCGGAGGGAAACGCTTTTTAATTCTTTAACTAGCATGTTGTCCAACTTGCTGTTAGAAAAAATAAAGATTTTTTTTTTATTCTAGGTCAGCTCAACAGCATAATGAGGATATAGAGTCGGGGGTAATGAGGTGTTCATATCAAAAATAGCACAAAAAAGACGGGACGAAAAGACTAAGAAGCACGCAGGACAAGCACTAACGGGCAACTAAACTTTATTGAATGCTTCCAACTTCACTATCGCCATGCACGCGCGTAATCTCATAATGAGATAAGCAGGGGCAAAATTCTATGCAACTGGTTGGTGACACTGAATGGATCGGCGGTAACTCGCAATGACATTGCAGTAACGTGGTGTGTTGCGCACATTTCTCCCGTTTCACTCCTGGGGTGGAAGGAAACCCAGTTTTGGGCCCTGTGGATGACTTGCTCATGTCTTTCCTTTCTCGCCGCAGTTGGTGAGCTCGCGCCTGCAAGAGCTCATCTCGGCAGCCCCGCGGCCCGACGTGCTCACCGACCTGTGCTTCGACTCGGACGCAGACCAGTTTGAGTCTGAGCTGGTCAAGATCTGCGGGCACCTGCGCCACCCCCGTTCTTGCCCGTCCCCCCCTCCTCCCCCTGCCCCGCCCTGCCCCCCTTCCCCCTCTCCCACCCCGCCCTCCTCGGCCTCCCCCCTGGGCAATCACAACCACAACTTCGACGGCCACAACCACGTGGCCGGCAGCAGCAACCTGTCTTCCTCGCCGGTGCACTCCGCCTGTTCTTCCCTAGGGGGCACCGGGCCGGGGAACATGTCCCCGCTGCACTCTGCCTCCTCTTCCCTAGGGGCCGGGGGTAACATGTCTCCGCTGCACTCTGCCTCTTCTCTTGGTGAGTCACTCCCCATGCTCCTTTTATTCCTGGGTGGATTCCCTAGATCTCTATTCTTTCTTCCTTGAAAGCAAGTTTCATTCATCTGTTTGTGTTTTGTGCATTCTTCGCACCTAAGGCTTTGCCTTGCCTTCTCCCGGGCTGGTTTGCTCAACACAAACTGAACAGAAATGAATTGTAACAGAATGTTAAGTTGGGCTAGTTGGTTGTCCCGTCATGAACAGAAATCTTGTCGAAGACAGTATAAGAGAGGTCACTGTCTGAGACAGTGCCAGAGAGGCTTGCACGTGAACAACCAAAGTTCACCAGGTCGCTTGCATCTTCTCTGTAATTTCGAAACCAAAGTCTCCTGTTTTTTTATTGCGCATGCATGCCAGTTTCGGCAGGGCTTCATTTCACCTGTCTGAGCTAAGGTTTTTGCTCAGTAAATGAGAAAGTCCCAATTGCAGTAAAGTCAGTGTTTATTTTCGGGAGAAAGGTTTGTTACCGTCGCCGACCGATTTTTCGGACACGTCAGATTATTCGGATGTTTTCGTCGAACCGTCGCTCGCCCCGTAAAGTCGATGTATAACACGGACCAAATATTCGGACGCCATAAAGCTTATTGCTAGATATTTTTGGCATTATTTGCGTGATTTCCTCAGTTTACAGGCACAAAATAGCCGCCGCAATAGCACCACGACCTTACTCGCTGCCATTTTGGTTGTTTTGATTTTGCCCTGTAGCCTCGATACCACATCCTATGCAATAAACAAGCTGGGTTGAAGCTCTGGTTCTGCCACCATCTCCGGGGGCGGTCTCTGGCATCGTTCCTGGCACGATCAGTACTGCTCCCGTTAATTGATTGGTAGGCCAACCTTGATGTCCATTCGGGCTAGAGCTTGGTCAACTGAGACGTACCCGGCACCCCTTTCAATTGTCAAATAAAACACCAAATTGCCTTCATGGTCCCTTTAAAGGACCTCTACTGTACTTGCATTCTTCCTTCAGATGTGAGCTTAACTTCTCTTGACTTCACACTGGAAGAATAAAACAAAAACGGGACAAAGCACAATGACATATCTTTGAACTCGCAACAACAGGAAGGAACTTGAAAGCCTTCTTTGCAGTTCTGTGTCCAGTCAATGCTACTAACACTCAGTTATTTAGCTTTTCCGTGCAGTGATCCTTCGCCCAGATGTCCATGACCTTGTCTGCCAACTCTTTCTTCTCCCCCAAGTGCTGAAGGCTTTTCCTCGTATCATTCTTTGCCAGAGAAAGGTTCAAGCCTAGCAACTGCACTTCTGAATGCGTAGCATTTACAGAGCCAGCTTTTGGCTCTGTGGGGTGTAGTATTGATGGAGAAGAGAGGTGTAAGGTCCTGCCAAATTTAGTGGGAAGGCCATCGCATGATGTCATGGTGTACCCGATATCACATGTGACACCACATCGGACCTTGGCGTGCCCCTAATCTACGAGGGACATCGCCGCCCACTGCGATTGGCCAGCTCCGCGCTGCTGATCGATCGCAGCAGGCAACGATGTCCCGGACCCATTGTGTAGAGAGATGACGTCTGACCATGGTGTGGTGTGAGGTAACCAGACGAGTGTGACAAAGCCTGGCCTTGCCCAGGTGCCGGGTCCTTGGGGGCCGGGGGCAACCTGTCTCCCCCGCTGCACTCTGCGGCCTCGTCCCTGGACGAGAGCCCCGGGGACCCCTTCTCCCTGCCGGCGCCCCTGGAGGTGGGCCTGCTGGCCAACAATGCAGTAGCCCAGTACAACCTGGCGCGCCTGGCCGGCATGGCGGGGCACGACGGGGACGACGGTTCGCCTGGCGACGGCGTGGTCAACATGGCGGACCTGCTGATGGAGGCCACGCTGGCGGGGGCTGCGGGAGCCGCGGCCGCGGCGGCTACTGCCGAGCAGAACGTCCTGAACAACCTGACGGCGCTCGCCAAGCTAGGCTCGGTGTCCCTGAACAACTCCGGTAGGTGTTTCTTTCTAAAACGAGAGACTTGCAGTGAAGGAAGTGATGGTTATGGTAGGGTCTTGTTTAGTGCACTTTTTGGGTTTGAAACTGCTTCGTTCCCGCCTTGGTTCTGCAAACCGTGCACCCCAAAATGGAAGAACCGTCCTGTTTGTGTTGGTGTAGGTTTGCCACACCAGGTTTGGGTGATGGCTTGGGCACCTAGGTCAAAACCCGTGGTCTTTGGACGCAGGCCAGATCATGGTGAACGGCCAGGTGGTGCCAGGCCTGACGCTAGACAATACGGCGACGCCGCCGCCCCTGCTGCCGCCGGCGGGGCGCCCCGGCAGCGGCCTGTCGTCCCACCTGCTGGACTCCCTGATGCTCAACGGGGGCGGGGCCTCCGCAGGCTCCACCCTCTCCCCCCGGTCCTCCTCAAGAGGCTCTCCCCTATTGGACGGCCTCGCAAACGGGGGTGGGATCTTGGGCGGAGGGGTGGGCCGCATCCCCATCCTGGCGGCGGGCAGCGGTCTCGGTGAGCGTTTCCTCTCTTTAAAAATCGTTGTGCCGCCGCACTTTTAACGTGGAGATCATCGTAGCTCTAATTTCTATAGTCCGTCTCGCCTTACGACGAGGATGCCGCAAGCCGTCCAGGCCGATTGGGCGCCGTGAACGCACGGATGTGCCGCCTCGGTCACGGGGGTCGCGCGGCACTGTGTCGGATTCACTTGGAAGGCTTTTCGTGTCCTCCGCGATTTGTTGTGGAACAAAATATAGCGAGCCAGTTCCGAAACCGAGGGTTTCTACCCGGTCGGGTTCCTTCGGCACATGCGGGACCGTGAAAGGGCATAGGAAGCAGTCTGCTGCTCGGAAAACTGTGCCTACGCCGCGCAAGATTGGACTGACCCTCAAGTTGGCATGTGTTCCGTCCAGTGTCTCCGTCGCTGTCGGTGCAGCCCGGGTACGTTCCTCCGCCGCGAGGGTCTGGCGCCAAGTTGAGCACGATGCAGATCAGGTGAGTCCTCGACCATGTCGGAGTCTCTCGGGAGAGGGCGGCCTCGCGTGGCACGGTGGCCACCGACGGAACGGCAGGATGTCTCTCTGGAGCACTGCCCCGTTGCCTTCTGCCACGCTCTGGCTGCACACAAATGCTCCAGGCTCGCGAGATGTCGGAGTATTGTTAAAGCTTGCTGTTCTCGTCTCGTCGCCGACTGCGGTCGAAACTGCTTCTGCAGCACTAAAAAAAGCTACGCTTGCGCCCGTTTCGCACGACAGACTGATCCGTGGACGGATTGATCGCGTGACGACATCTCTGCGGTTCGTCCATCTCCCAATTGCATCCGCACGAGGGAGACGACGAGCAAACGTTAGCGAGGATGGACCAAGCAGTGCCGCAAAACTCCAACCGTGGCATCGTTGTCCAAGAGAGAAATCGGCGTTTGCTATCGCTATAAAGAATCGTACGCCGCTGTTACGTACAGATTGAGACAAAACACCGTGATAGGTTAGCGCAGAGCAACACTAGCTTTACTAACCCAAGGCATGACAGTGAGACAGGCATGGTCCTGCTTGATTAGGCTTCGGTGAAGAAGCAACCAAGTTCCGGGGTCGAGGAGGGGCGTTTGGAGATGCCTTCACGCGCTCGTGCACAGCCACAAGAAAGGCTCGGTGGAAGACTGATTGGACACGCAAGAAATATTGTAGCGTACTAGATGAGTTTTATCGAAAGCTTCTCGGCACGGACCCGGACGTGTACCGGAACCCACGTTGCGTCAGCCGGACAAAGCGTCTGCAGTTTCTTTCCTCAACGATGCAGTATTTATGTTTTAAATTTGATCGTCGGAAAACAGAAAACCAAGAAAGCATTTAACCGTCGCCAAACTAAGCGCTTTTCGACTTAATCTCCCGGCGAAAATCTGCGAGTAAAATGGTGCTCGACTTTATCAGTCCGGTCATCCGCAGACGAGGCGCGGATCGCAGGAATCGGTGACAGGACGGTCGCGTGGTGCATGGTTTGCGGACGAAAATTGAGATTCGGGCCGTCGTGTGAATCGGCTATTGGGGACATCACGATTGCGCGTGCGGGTCTCCCTTCCTCTCGTGGGGGACCATGAAACACAATTCGGTTTGAGTTGTACTAGCTGCATATCGCTTGTTTGGCACATAAAGACAAAAAACTAGAAACTGGCTTATATCCTCCGTAAAATTTTAAATGTCCATTCTCTTTACAGCGGAGCTGTTAAAGGCTAGTTTCTCCAGTATCGTGTCCGCGGACAAGCGGCGCGTAGGCACAAAACTGCAGACAGCTACCGCCTTCAAAGAGCGACGGTGGCAACCAGACAACCGGCCTGCCGGTTGTCTGGTTGCTGCCGTCGCTTATAGATGGCGGCAACCTTTCCAGCCTTTTTACTCTGGCTTTTACCAGTTTGGAAAGGCGAAATTTCTCTAGGCGGCGTCTTAGAAGTCATCCTCAAGGTCGTCCTTGAGGTCGTCCTAGACGTTGTCCTTGAGGTCTTCCTTGACATTGTCCTTGAGGTTGTCCTCGAGGTCGTCCTAGATGTATTCCTTGAGGTCGTCCTAGATGTTGTCCTCAAGGTCGTCCTAGAAGTCATCCTTGAGGTCGTACTAGACGTCGTCCCTGAGGTTGTCCTCGAGGTCGTCCAAGACATTGCCTTAGATGCCGTCCTCTAGGCGTCATCCTTGAGGTGGTCCAAGAAGTCATCCTAGATGTTGTCCTAGATGTGGTAAAGATAACAGCTTCGCTGGTCCTCCATCTTCACGTGATGTGGAAGGGCTCTGCATATTTTGTAGCGTAAGCTACACTGGCCGAGGTTGAGCAGTTTTGCGTGGCTCCTGGAGAGCTGTGCTGCGCATGTGCGAGGAGCAGTGCCTGAACGGGCAGGACTGCTATGGCGCCCAGGTCAGTCCCCCATGCACATGCCGCCATGCGCATCCACCCGCTCGAGATCATGGCTCTTCTGTCCGGTTGTTCTGGGTGGCAGCTTGGTTGCTTGATACATAACAACACGGCCCACAGCTGGCCAAACCAACGACGGGCATCTGGCATGCCCCAGCGAAGGATTAATTTGGACCACCTGGGGATCTTTTGACGTGCAACCGAAAGCTCGGTTGCCTCCTCCGCAATTAGAGGAGCGGAGAAGCTTAACTAATCACATCCCGAAGTAGTCACATACTACGTATACCATGTGTGTGTCATTGAAGCAGCAGTGAGCATGATAAGCTAATCCTAGACAACCAGGAAAGCTAAGAATAACTAGCTGAACCTAAGCTTACGCTACATATATCCTGGCACAGCAGAGTTAAGCCTCTGTTGTTTTTTTTTGTTCTATCTGGGTACGTTAACTTTTGAATCACTCGTAGGTCGGCTCAAAATTTGTGGTCAGTGTTTGTAGCCAGATAGATGGAAGGCATGTGAAGTTCCAACCCTGCGAACCAACTTTATGAGGTACTATACCCTCAGAATGAAGTAAAGCGTAGCTTGGCATGGAATGTGCTCCATGAATCTATCGGTGAGAAATTGTGTTAAAGAGCACATATTTTTCTGGCGGATTGCATACTGGAATGCCCATTGCTGGTTACTATGAAAAGAAATTTCAGAAAATATGCATTTTTCAGGTAAAAGAATTTTATAAGTTTTGCAAATTACAATTTTTCATAATAAAGGAACATGAAAATTTTAAATCTACCGTAATATCCCGAGTCATCGCCCACCCCCCTACCGCCTGAAATTCATTAAAAAAGTGGGGTGGGCCATGTATCGGTGGGTGAGCACAAACACTTAAAAAAGCGGAAAAATCCGCCTATTTCTCTCTGCACATCTAGCGCTGATGCACAAGAGATACATTATACTCAAAACTCGATTTAGTTTCATTGTTTTATAGAAAAAATGCTCATGAAAGAATATTTTACTATAGCAAAGTCCGTTGCTTGCATACGCGCTGGAAACACCGCCGATCTGCACATAGCGCGAACGTTTATTCCGTGAAAGAATGTCACCACTATGTTCTCCTAGTTAGTAAAAAAAAAAAAGAAAGATAGAAAAGTCTACAAGAAAATAGAAAATTCGACCAGGTGCAACAAGCGAGCGAGCGGACCAAAGAAGTCACGAAGAGCGATGCTGGGAAAGCGGGAAAGCCGGCGATCGCGTTGGCAAATACTTTGGCGTCGGGCCAAGTCGGGCGCCTTGTCAATTGCAAGCTCTTGCGCAACTTTCTTGTTTGGTGCGTACATACATACGTGCGTCCGTGCACGGCATGCTATCAACAGGGGTTTGGGACGCTCTACAAACGTCTGTGTAGGGCGTTCCAGCAAAGCTTTATTTACGCGTTGGCTTTGTCTAAAATATTGCACAACCGCGGTGGCGACGTGCGAAAAGAAGGAGCGGATTCGCGGCGACCTTACTTGGGCGGAGACAGACTTTGACCTACACTCCGCGGTTACATACCTCGCGATCCCAGACTGGGTTACTGCTGGTGTCATCTTTCCGATTTTTACACCGGAGCTGTTAAGGGCTAGGTTCCCCAGGATCGTGTCCAGCACCAAACAAATGTCGACACAACGCTCTGGTTGCCGTCGTCGCTCATAGATGGAGGTAGCTGTCCAGAGTGTTGTGTTTGCTGGTTGTCTGCTTGCCGCCGTCGTTCATAGATGGCGGCAACCTTTCTAGCCTTTCCACTCTGGCTTGCCGACTTGCGGCCGTGCATTACTTCATTCCCACGGATACACTACCATTTCGGGGTCGCTCGCGGAGGAAATACGTAAACAAAGAGAAGTGTCTTTCCCTCCTTCGTTTTACTTCGTCACGGTTGTCCTCCAACTCTAAGGTCCGCGGCCGCGTAATTCGGGTAGGATGAGTGTTAGCGGATCGCAGAGTCTGCTTTGGGGTATTTGAAGAAGTGGGCGGTGACTGGCGTTTTTTCGGAAATCGATAATGGCCCAAAAAATGGTGTGGGCGATGGCTCGGGGATGGGCGATGACTCGGGATATTACGGTATGTTCATAATAACTAGCCCCATAAAGTTTCTGTATACAGTCAAGCCCATTTATATCGAACTTGCAAAAAAATAAAAATTTCAATGAATTTGAGAAGAAACAAGCCCAAGAAAAGTTGTTTACTCTCAAAGGAGTGTCTGTACATCGTGAGGGGTGCACCACGCGGCTATTCAATTTCTGCTTTGTTTTTCTAGATCTCACCGGCTCGGCCTCTCCCTGCTCCCTCCGCAAAAGACAAAATTTTTTTTTTTTTTTCTGGGCGGTTGTTGTGGCAGTTTAGAAGGAAGAAAGCCAGCTTGCAGGCAAAACGGCGCTCTTGGCAGTTCAATCTATCCGGAAACGCTGCAATTTTCATTTGATGTAACTGCATTTTTCGCTATGCATTTTCATTGCAGCTATTACCGTATTTACTCGCATTACGAACTCGCTCGCATAATGAACGCACCCCTCCACAACGGGTACCAATATTTGGACTTTTTTTTTTTCCCCTCGCGTAATGAATGCAACTCCAATTCTTGGCTCCGCGAGTCTCGAATTGCATCCAACTTGGCTAGCCGCCAAGCCCACCAAGCCAATTTTTTGTTGCCAAGTGGTCAGGCCAAGTCGAGCCAAGCCAAGCCGCTCTCGTAAGGGCTGCATAGTGTAGCTGCGGAAGGGATCAACCGTGAAACCGAGAGGCGCGCACACTTGACGAAGCTTGGGTCGGGGAATTGCCCAGCCCCGGATATTCTTTGCCTATCGGATGCATTGAAGTCAACAAACAAGCCGTCGTCTGTGGTCTGCTTGCGGACAGTGAAATCTTGAAAGTGGTTAGGCTTGTGAACGGTTGCGTCGCTCTCCGTGCTGAGCGAGCTTCAAAAGGGCGCTTTTCTATGGTAAAAGGCACGCCGAAAGTGCCCTAAAAAAGTTTGCAATTTATAAAGCATGGTTACTTTGACCAGCCGTGGGTGCGCCCCCATCAATGGAGACGTGCCACAGTACCTTGCCGTGTCATATTGGCACCTAATAGGACATATTTGCACGAAGTGTGTAAATACAAAAATTTTACCCCGCATAGTGAACGCACCCCCAAATATGTGTTAATTTTTGGGTAAGAAAAGTGTGTTCAATATGTGAGTAAATATGGTAGTCCAATCAGAAATAGTTCGATTTAAGGGGTAGTTAGAATTAACTGGGTTCAATATAATCAGGTTTGACTGTATAAGCCGCAAACATTAAGCCTCAGTAGTTTCATACTGAAACGACAGATTTATTAAGATGGGAGTAGGGTACCTAATAGTTCGAAGTTTAAACTGCAACATTTGAAGAAGGCATATTTTTTTTTGTAAAAAAGAGGCATTTTAAGGCTGTGTCCTCCCATTAAGCATTGACATTTGATTTTGACAGCGGAGCTGTTAAGGGCTAGTTTCCCCAGTTTCACCGTTGAAAATTTGGCGAGTTAGTTATGCATAGTTACGAAGAGGGAAACAGCGTAGAAAGTACGGAGGACAAAGAACGAAGAACATACAGACCGAGCGCTGACTGACAAGTGCGTCAGTGCTCGCCCGATTGCGCTCTTCGATACAGAAATCACATTCTTGGAGAGCTGTGACACGTGCTATGGTCCGATGTATGTTTGTGTTTTTATGCCGGTAGGTGGTTTCCAGTAATGAACCGGTTGTCAGTCAGTGCTCGGTCTGTGTGTTCCCCTCCTCGTACTTTGTACTCCATACTTTTGGTGCTGTTTTCCACTTTGTAAGTAGTTTCCCCAGTTTCGTGTCCGTCACCAAATAAATGTTGACGCAAAACTCTGGACAGCTATGGCCATCTATAAACGACGGCAGCAACCAGACAACCGGCTTGCTGGTTTTCTGGTTGCCGCCGTCGCTCATAGATGGCGGCAACTCAGGTTTTCCCCATAGTGGAAAGGCTGACTTTCTCTAGGCATCATCCTAGAAGTCGTCCTTGAGGTCGTCCTAGGCGTCGTCCCTGAGGTTGTCCTAGGCATTGTCCTTGAGGTTGTCCTACAGATCGTACTCTAGGTGTCGTCCCTGAGGTCGTCCAAGAATTCGGCCTTGAGGTCGTCCCACCATAGTACAGCTTCACTGGTCTTCTTCACCATAGTGGAAAGGCTGAAAGTTTTTTTTAGTAATGGTCATTACCGCAGACGTTGCTGTGACGTTGATGTCGGACATCCACCCATGGCTGGCATTTGGGCCGTTGCGTGATGCCGGGCACTTCCCATCCAGGTGCAAGTTTGGGCAGCTGGGCCCCAGCAAGGGCCAGTTCAGCTCGCCCCACGGCTTCTGCCTGGGCCTGGACGAGGAGATCATAGTGGCGGACACCAACAACCACCGCATCCAGGTCTTCGACAAGTCCGGGGAGTTCAAGTACACCTTTGGGGTGGCCGGCAAGGAGGAGGGACAGCTCTGGTACCCCCGCAAGGTGCGTCTCTTAAGCCGAGTGTACCGCGCGATGGTCGGCAAAGCTTGGGCTCGGTTGGTTCACTAGAGCAAACGAAGGACAGAATGAGAGCGTCAAAGCACGGACAGGTGACCAACGAGGGCAGGTTTTGACCTCGGTAAAAGATTGGTTGGTTGTAGTCACTGGGGCACTGGTTGCCACGGTTGAGAAATGTGCTTCTCGCCGCCAACTTGATTGCATGGCTCCCTTTGCGCATCGCATGTGGCAGCATTGGGTTGATGTTGCAGCGCTGTCAAGTGGCAATGTCCTCCCTGAAAAGGATGGTTTGGGTGTTGCTCCAAAAGATGGAGGGTGGTGGGAAGGAGTGTGACGGGGAGCTTCCTCGGCAGGTGGCGGTGATCAAGAGCACGGGGAAGTATGTGATCTGCGACCGGGGCAACGAGCGGTCACGCATGCAGATCTTCACCAAGGGGGGCCACTTCATCAAGAAGATTGCCATCCGCTACATTGACATAGTGGCCGGCCTGGCCATCACAGCCGAGAACAAGATAGTGGCCGTGGACAGTGTGTCCCCGACGGTGTTTGTCATCTCGGAGGCCGGGGAGCTGCTGCTCTGGTTTGACTGCAGCGAGTACATGCGGGAGCCCTCGGACATTGCCATCAGCGGCCGCGAGTACTACATCTGCGACTTCAAGGTGGGTCTCTTCCTTTGGCAGCTCTTTTGGCTTTTTTTTTTGCCCACTCTAAGGAGTATGTCGCTAGAAGTTGCCCACAGTATAGGCTGGTTGACCCATTTGCGTTGGGAGTGTCGCTGCTTAAAGGGGCCCTGCAATGACTTTTTTACTGGTTTTTAATTTGCACCGAACCTGAGTGCACTGAACGTAGTAACGGTGTGAAACTTTTCTTTTCTTGAAATTCCCTTTGTTTTAAAAGTTATAGGCAAATTGAAATTACAAAAACAAACAAAAAATAACCTCCCTCATGACGTCCTTGGTTGCTTGAGAGTGACCGTGAACTAGAGGAGAAGCAGTGAGCTCATCGAGCGCTCACGGCTGCCGCACTCCGTGTCGACGGTGCGAGAGGGTGCCAGTAAAGCGTGCTCTGGATAGGCTCTATGCAGCGGGCAGCCAGAGAGGCTCTCATTGCATTTGCTGCGCGATTAAATACTAATTCGGCATGATACTTCATTAGCCACAAACAACAGCAAACACGGGGGAAAGATCAGTTCAGAATGGGAGCCACTTTGCGCTGCCATACCGCGAAACGGCCAAACCGCAAGGCAAAGCTTCTCGGCAAAGGCCTTCGGAACCCTCGGAGCCGGTCAGATCCTCCTGTCCATACGACTGCAGCGCCGCTGCGTACATCCGGGACCTTTCCGTGTCGGCGCCTGATCCCACTACTCCTTTCTAGTGTGCGCCGTCTTTTCCACCGCTTGGTGGCGGGTTTGTCGACGGGTCATTTCTTGCTTCCGTACTTTATGAACTGCATTCGTTTCTTTTCTGATCTAAAATACTAAACAAAAACTACTTTTATGAATAATTGAAACGGTTCGCGCCTTCTATATTTTGTATTTCGACTAAAAAGAAGCTTTTAGTGACTCTGACCAGTAGTAAGCCCAGGACCAAAGACGTGACATTTTGCGTGCTTTCGGTACCGCGGGTCGCCCTCGTCGGTGGAGGAGGTTTCCGCGTCGTCCGGTTAAATTATGACGCACTGATATTTAGTTACTCTCTCCGTGCCCGCTGGCTTGCCCGAACCCCAAGAGACGTGGAAACCCCAAGAAAGATAGACGCTTAAATATGATTGCAGGGCCCCTTTAAAGAGGTAGCATGCTGGTGTGGTGAACACAGACGCGTAAACCAGCCTTTCACTGGGGAAAAAGGATATTTTAAACAACCTAAAAAAATGATATTTTTGTATGCAATTGTTTACGGCGCTAGACTCGTTTTAGTTCACAGCTTTCAAATGCATGCACCAAAAATAGGTACATGACGTCGCCACATGTGCACACTAAGGGCTGCTTTGTCATTGGCTACCTCTGTCCTCAGTACTTGTCCTTTCCACTTTTTCTTTATGTCGCAACACGGGTGAGTGGAGAGGACAAGAATGCTGCCCTTGGGAGTCTTTTGGTGCACGCTTTTGAAGGCTGGAAACTAAAACCAGTCTAGCGCTGTAACTAATGTTACAAAAATATATTTGTTTGCAGAAATTTTTTTCTGGAATAGTAGTAATTCTTTTTGGGGCTTTTTACAAATTGTTTTTCTTTTCAGTGTCTCTTTAAGGGGGGATGTGGCAATTAAAAATATTTTCACAATTTATGAACCAAATACAGCCAAACTTAGTGCATATCTAAAGTGGATGATGGCACCATCGGAACAAAAAGCAGTTCATTGATAACTTGTATACTTCCGGAATTGCAGAAGCATGTGTACTAACAAACTCAACCTGGAATTTGTAAATGCATTAGTCACTATCACTATCTTTATAAAGATATATAGTATATATAGTCACTATCTTTATAAAGATGGATTCTTTGCAAGGAAGCTGTGAAATAACTTTCTAATCTTAATAACGCACAAAAAAATTGAAAAAAAAAAAAAAGTGAGGCTTATTTCCCAGTTTTTACATCCAAACCGCTTTTACAGAAAAGTGAATTACAAAATCATCTTTGTACGACCGAGAAAGAGATAGCTTTACAGCACCGCTGCATGTTTTTGGAGTCCAATGTAACAGACAGAAACATTCTAGCATAATTTTTTAAGTGAAATGTTAAGGGGAAGCACGGCCCAGAAGGGTCTACTTTTCACATCCTTAAAGGGACCATGAAATGACTTTTTTACTTTTTCCAGATAACTTTTACATCAAACCGTCAATGTTCACTGAATGCCGAAGAGGCATCCGTTTTCGTCTCGGTTTATTAACTTCTACACAAAAAATGAATGAAATATCGACTTTTCCTTTCTCTCCAACTGACCGCAAAACAAGCCGTGACGTACGGTGTTTCCGGAACCGGAAGTTCTCTCGGCAGTAGGAGAATGGGACGAGTTGGGGTGCGCCGGTAGGTTTTACTGCGCTGATGTCACCGACGTATTTTCTGAATCGGCGCCTCTCATTGCCGCATCGCAGCTGAGCGAAATTCAATGAGATATGTTGCGCAACAGCGACAGCATGGGACTAGTCCGATACGCCGGTATGCCTGTTGGAAAGTGCAGCGAGTCTTCCGGTGAAGACTCCAGAAGTCAACCCAACTGTCGTAGTTGGTTAAAGGCGGCCCGTGTCAGTCGTTTGCCAAGCGACGTAGATGGAAACAAATTGCCGCGGCGTTTTTCGTGGCCTCGGAGATGCAGGAGCGAGCCGACGTTAAAAACTATACGTTTGAACTACGAGTGGAAATGGAAGGATCCATGAGCGTTCCACTCATGGATCCTTCCATTTCCGTGCAGATATCGTCCCATCTGTGCTCCTCCAACTTGTTAGCGTGCTTCTTTATAGTCCTTTGAAGCTCCATAACTTTCCGCCTTAGCGCTCGGTTATGCTTGCTCCGTGTTAGTCGCCTCTTGAGGCTGTCCCTGGCTTCCCACATGTGAAGGAGGTGGGGATCCACGCATTCATTGTCCTCAGTCTGCACCGTTTTGGTCGCTCAACTCGCGTCCTGCTGTAAGGTGGCGCACCATTCTTGCAGGTTGCCTATGACTAGTTCCCTTTCCTTCCGTGCGGCTCGGAACGCGTGCCAGTCCGTGATGCGCTGGGTGTTGTTATTCTGTTTCGGGGGGATGTGACCCGTTATTTTAATTTCTATTATGTAGTGGTCACTCCCGAGGTCTGTCTGGGTGTTCCTCCATGTGGCTGGCCCCCCGTTTTTGAGGAACGCGAGGTCGGGAGTAGTGTCCTTCTGGCGCATGTTTTCCCTCCGGGTGGGTAGCATGGGGTCCGTTAGAATCGTGAGCTGTTCCTCCTCTATGACTTGGTAGAGTTTCCTGCCCTGGTTATCCACTCGTGTATCCCCAGGCCGTATGTGCCGCGTTAAAATCCCCTAATGTGAGCCATGTCTGCCCTTCGGCTATTGCCGCCACTTTCGCAAAGAGCCTTCAGAAACCGACAGTCTTGTGTGGTCGGCTGTAGACATTCAATACGAATAGGTTATCTTTCTTCTTACCCCTTGTGAAAATTAGTTCTGCAAGTATGCGTTCCACTCCTTTCATGCCCGTGTCGTGGTTGATAACGGAGATGTTTCTGTGTACTAATGTGGTTACCGACGGTTGGTCTATTTCCCGTTGTACAGTTACATATGCTTTGTACCCTGCCAACTTAGCTATCCCAAAGGTGTCCTGTAACGCCAAGAGGTGCGACGTGTTCGCTTTCCCTATGTGTTGCAGGTATTGCTGTACATCCCCCCTTTTTCGTAGGTAGCCTCTACAGTTCCACTGCCACGCGCGTATCTGCATTTCTCCTATCCATGATGGGGCGGCGGAGGGGTGAGGTCTGGCCGATTCTGTAGTGCTTATCTAGCGTCCCGTGACGGGCACTCGTATGGTTTAGAATTACGGATTGGACCTCCCGCTTGAGGTAAGGGACTCTGTCCAATTTCCGCGTAGGTTCCTTGTGTCATGTACCTGGTGTTAAGCACTCCTCTGTGATTTAACCCTTCCATGATCGCCGTTTTACAAGCCCCTACAATCTCCGGCATAAGTTCCTTGAGCGTCTCCTTGACCGTCTCCTTTGTAATTGCTATGTTTATTCCCTTCGTCGGGTCTTCCTCCAATTCGGGTTCCTCCGCCTTCCATTTACGAGTACCCCCGCCGAGGTTTGCGCGTCGGAGCCCTCGCTTTGCATGCGCTCTAGTCACGACTTAAGTTCTAGATTTTCCTTCCTCAGTCTATCCATCATCTGCTTAAGGAGTACCATTTCGGATTTTAATTGACTGTGGCTATCTTTATTAGGTTGGGAGGCTGCGGTTGCCCAGCTCACCTTCTCTGGAGTCTGGTATGGTTTCCTCCCCTGGTCCCAGCTTGGGGTTCTTGATGTTTGTTTAGGGCTGCGGCTCTCTGGCGTCCTGGTCCGGGCTCGTCCTCGGATCGGGATCGTTGCCTCGCCGATGCCGGGGTTTAGACCTGGTTCCCTTGGGCGTGGGTCGCCTGGGGGAGCCGGGGGAAGGACAGCGATCTCGTTCGGGGCCTTTGGCGGTCATCACTTTGGAGTCTCTGGCGCTCCCTGGCTTGTCTCTCCTTGTTTCACCGGCGTTTTTGCACTAGGTATGGCGTTCGGTAGCGTTGTCGACATTTCTTATCTCCCCTTTCATGATCCTTCCCGCACATGGTACATCTCGGTCCACACGGGTGATCCGATGTTGGGGACTTCAGTCCATACTTGGGACAAACTTTTGCTGGGGTTCCTGCTTCCGTGGGGCATACGGCCCCCCGGTGTCCGAAGGCTTCGCAGTTCCCGCAGACTTGTGTTTTTTCTTGTGCAGATAGTACCTGTACTCTGCTCCTTGGTAATAGACATGATATGGGACCTTCTCGTCCTCAAAGATGATAAGCACGCTGTTCATGGTGCCCAATCGCCTGGCGCTGAGAATTGACAGGTTTCGACGCTGAATGAGGATTTCCACGATGTATTGTTCCGTGGCTTCTCAGGGGACGTTGTGGATCACCCCCTTGGCGCTCCCCTCTGGAGGGGCCACGTAAGTGCTGAT